CATCTTTGGAGGGAGCTTAAACTCTGCGTTGCTCAGCGACAGCCCCGAAACCTGACAGATCTAGAGGAGATCTGTGTGGAGGAGTGGGCCAAAATCCCTGTTGCAGTGTGTGCAAACCTGGTCAAGAACTACAGGAAACGTTTGACCTCTGTAATTGCAAACAAAGGTTTCTGTACCAAATATTAACACTGATTTTCTCAGGTGTTCAAATACTTATGTTCAGCAGTGCAAGACAAATAAATTCTTTAAAAATCATACAATGTGATTTCCTGAATTTTTTTTAAATTCTGTCTCTCAGAGTGGGAATGCACCTACAATGTGAATTTCAGACCCCACCATGATTTCTAAGTGGGAGAACTTGCAAAATTGCAGGGTGTTCAAATACTTCTGTTCCTCAGTGTATGTGCATGAATGGGTGAATGGGAAATAGTGTAAAAGCACTTTGAGTGTGCTTCATTCCATAGAAAAGCACTATACAAGTATAAAACAATTTAACAAGTGGTGTTTCACTAAGAAGAGTTTTTTCTAGTCTGGAAAGATAGTTTAATAACATATACTGTAAAAACACCTTTGTAGTGCCAGAAATGCATATTATTCATCACTGTGCTTTATTGCCTCATCTCACTGCCTGAATGCAAGAGAGCGAGCACACAGCAGGTACGCCACATGCTGCATGCTTGCTGTCTTGCATTCAAATCAGGCAATGAGACAGAGTACAAAGCTGCAAAGTACAGACTGAGGAAAGCCATCACAATGGCCAAGACACAGTACAGGGAGAAGCTGAGTGGCTTCTATTCTACTGCTGACTCCGGGCGGATGTGGCAAGGCCTGCAGCACATCACGGACTCATCAGGTCAGGTATGCAAAGTCCTGAGGAAGATGGACCCTCGCAAATCAAGAGGACCACGCAACATCCCTGGGAGGGCACTCAGAGCATGTGCCTGGCTGATGTTCTTACCAGCATCTTCAACACTTCCCTCACCACCATCTTCAACCCTTCCCTCAGCCAGAGGATCGTTCCCACCTGCTTTAAGACCACAACAATCATACCCCCAAGAAGAGCCCAGTCACCTGGCTGAACGACTACAGGTCAGTGGCACTCACGCCATTCATTATGAAGTGTTTTGAGAGAGTGGTGCTGGCCCATATTCAGAGCAGTATACCAGGCACCCTGGATCCCCTGGAGTATGCCTACCGACCCAAAAGGGCCCAGACCCATCCTCTACACCAGGGGTGCCCACACTTTTTCACCCTGCAAGCTACTTTTCAAATGACCGAGTCAAATTTATCTACCTACACTAAAAATACTAAACATATATTTATTTATATATATACTGAGAGTGTGTGTATGTGTATACACGCACACACACACATATATATATATATATATATATATATATATGTTGGAGATGGAGCTGCCAGGCAAGAGGTCAAGAGGAAGGCCAAAGAGGAGATATATGGATGTGCTAAAAGAGGATATGAAATTAATTGGGGTGAGAGTAGAGGATGTCGAGGATAGAGTTAAGTGGGAACAGATGATTCGCTGTGGCAACCCCTAACGGGAGCAGCTGAAAGAAGAAGAATAAGAGAATGCATTCTGCATGGGAGCAGTATTTGCAGCAGTCAACAGTCAATGTGCAATTATACATGTGCAAACTGAGAATGTAAACAGTACATGACGTATTTCCTGGTAATAAACTCCTCAGCTGTTTAGGAGTCTGATGGCAGAGGGAAAGAAAGAGTTTTTCAATCTAGTGGTCCTGCATTTCACACTTCTGAACCTCCGGCCAGAGGGTAGGGAGGCGAACAGTCCGTGCTGGGGGTGGGTGGGGTCCTTGAGGATGGAGGCAGCCTTCCTACGCACCCTGTGGTGGTAAATGCTCTGCAGAGAGGGCAGTGGAGTC